ACTAACTACTACTACTACTACTACTACTACTACTACTACTACTACTACTACTACTACTACTACTACTACTACTACTACTACTACTACTACTACTACTACTACTACTACTACTACTACTGCTACCGCTCTTAATAGATCGGCAACGACGACGACTACTACTATTACTACTACTACTACTACTACTACTACTACTACTACTACTACTACTACTACTACTACTATTACGGCTACGACTACTACTACTTCTACGACTATTCCTACTACGACTACTGAGACTATTTCTGCGACTACTACTACTACTTCTACTAATACTAATACCACTGCTACTACTACGACTACTTCCACTACAACTGCTACTTCGACTACTCCTACCACTAGTACTACTACCACTACTACGACTACGACTACGACTACGACTACGACTACTACTACTACTACTACTACTACTACTACTACTACTACTACCACTACTACGACTACGACTACGACTACTACTACTACTACTACTACTACTACTTCTACTACTAGCTCTACTACTACTGCTACGACTACTACTACTACTGCTACTACTACAAGACTTGCGGCGACGACGACTACTACTACGACTCCCACGGGTACTACTACTATTAGTGCTAGTAATCGTAATGTGAATGCTACGAATACTGAGAATGGTGAAAATTATAATGCTGTCAGTAGTAACGCTAATCGTAGCAAAACTGCTAATACGAACACGTATAGTAACAGTAAGCGTAGAAAGAATAGCAAATCAATACTCACAGTACTGGCAATGGTATCCGGACGAAAAGAATAAGGAAGGCGAGCAGACAGGCCAGAGACCTGTTGGATACTTCTCGGAGTCTCTTCGGATGTCTCATGACAGCTACGTGTAGGACTCTTGGGGCGGGGGGTCTCTTGACGGTCCCGGGGGCCTCTTCAAGCGTCTTGGGTGCCTCGATGGAACCTCTTGGGGCCTCTCGGGAGTCTCCTTGGAGCATCTTGTGGACCTCTTGGAGGCTTCTTGGGGCCTCCTAGGTGCCTCCTGGGGCCCTCTTGGGGCACTCCTGGGAGCCTCGAGGGCCATCTAGGGGCCATCTTGGAGGAGATCGATCAAAGATAGGGGGGGGCTTAACTCGGCCCCCCCTCCCCCAGAAGGCAAGATGGGCCCACGGCCTAGGTCAAATTATTGTTTACGCCTCCTCGCCGAGGCCATCCTGGACGCTCCAGCGACCCGCGAGCCCCCCACCAGACCCAGGGGTAGGCGTTTTGGGGAGGTAAGCCCCTCCCCGAAGGGGAAGAAGGGGGGTTGGAAGAGGAAACGACCTACAGTGGAGGCCCATGCCAAAAAACACCCAGGTTGCCTCCAGGGTGCCCCGGGTTTCTTGGGTTTTGATGGTTTTTGCGGTGGCAAGCGCGACGCCCCCACACCAAAACTCAATGGACGTCGGGGGGTCTCAGGGTTGGGTTTCTTGTGGAAGGTTCCTTGTGGACTGGCCTCCCCTGTAAGCCCCTCCCCGAAGGGGAAGAAGGGGGTTGGAAGAGGAAGCGACCTAAACCACTCACGCCCGAAAGAGCTGGTGGGATCATGTCCATGCCGTTTTGCGTTCGTGTAGTCTTGCCCCTTTTGAGCGCATCTCATCTTGCACTCTTGTCGACGAGCACCCGCGTCCTCTGGCCCGCTCGGACGCCTGCGGCCGTCCTCCTCAGGAGAAGCGTCCCCTCGAAACGGGCGGTCGGGCGCCAGGAGAGGCCATGAACATGAACGCGTCCACGGAGACGAACTTGACCAACTTCACGAACATGACGTGGACAGAAGCGGAGACGTACGTGACCGAGCCCACTCAGTGGCGGGCGGCTCAGCAGTGGATCCGGCGAGCTCGAAGAAGGAGGGCGGCGAGGGACGGGGGCGAGGAGACGGGCGCGCCTGGGCTGCGGCCCTGCCTCCTCGGCGCCTGCGCCGCGCCCGCGGCGGGCGGGCGCAGGAGCAGGAGCAGGAGCAGGAGCAGGAGGAGGAGGAGGAGGAGGAGGAGGAGGAGGAGGAGGAGGAGGAGCGATCGAGCGATCGAGCCATCGAGCGATCGAGCAGAGGAGCTCGGGCAGCCTGTCTGGCTCAAGCCGGGCGCTGCCTCTCGGAGCGGGGGCCCCTTCCCGCCGCCGCCCCCTCGGACGGGGCGGCGCCCGGGAGGGCGGAGGGCCCAGCGCGGCGCCCGGCCGCCTCGCGCCAGGGCGGCCGCGGAGCCGCGACCGCGCCTGCCGAGATCTGCCTGCGCCGCCGGCGGGCCCCAGGGGCCGCGAGGCCGCCCGGGTGAGCACCAGCCCGGAGCCCGCGCCCAGGCGCGAGGCCGCTGCGCTTCCGCGCGGCGGCCAGCAGGCGCTGCCGGGGCGAGCTCCCCTCGCCAGCAGGAGCGGCGGCGCACCGCTCGCCGCGGCGACCAAGTCGGGGCTGCAGTCGTGCCGCCGTCGTCGTCCCAGGCGAGCCAGCCGTTTTCCGCCAGGGCGCCGCCGTCATTCCTCCGCAGGGGCTCTGCCGTCTCCACCCCCGAGATGCTGGCCGACACGCCCGTCGGCCACAGGTACACCGTCGCTGAAGTCTGGAGGTTGCAGGATCACATCCTCGGCTTGCCCACACGGCATATGGTGTCACTTGCCGCTGCCGCCCTGCTGGCGGTATTGCTGGACCAACAGTGGCCCGAGGTCGGCGAGGAGGGGCAAAGTCGTCCGCATCGCCAACTACTCGCACGGCGACTACCGCAGCGGTGTCCGCGCCGCACAGGTGTTGGACGCGGCTGCCCGAGCAGCAGAGGCTCACGGGCCCAAGGTGGACAAGAAGCGGCCAGGGACCGGCGCCATCGCCGAGCACTTTGCACGCAGCAGGCCCGAACGGCGGCGGCGAGACCAACCAGCAGTTCCCAGGGCCTCGGGCAAGCGGCCGCATCCCGCTCGCAGGCCCTCTTCTGCTGCAGCTCCCCTCCCCCACCCCCCACATGCCGCCGACCTCCACCGTCAGCCACCAGCCGCTCTCGGACCCCGGACCCCTGCCGAGAACTCCGACGAGCAGGAGTCTGAGGGCCCCGCCGTCTGCGAGGACGAGGAGGACGAGGCCGCCGAGCGTACCGACCGGGAAGCCCGGCAGGACGTGTGGCAGGAGCCCGATTTCCAGGAGGAGACCTACGTGGACGAGTGCCACGACGCACGCAGAGGAGGAGGAGGAGGAGGAGGAGGAGGAGGAGGAGGAGGAGGAGGAGGAAGAAGAAGATGACCACGTGGACTCCGTGGAGGGGAGAGACTACTTGGAGAAAGAGGAGAAATAACTACGTGGAGGAGGTCAGCAGGTAGTACGAGGAGGCCCAGCTTCCTACCCCCGCAACGCCCAGCACGACAGCCCCGCGCCGTGAAGAAACCCACCGCATAAACGGACGACGAACGACATTTCAGATGGTGCCAGCAGCGCCGCCATGCTCAAGGCCGCGGGTAAGCCCGTCGCCGCTGGCTCAGCACGACTGCCCGAGGCCAAAGCGGCCGCGCTCTGAGATGTGGCATCGTTCGGGCCGTTTGGGGCCAGGGCTACGCAGGCCCGCCGCCGCCAGGCCAGGTCTGCCGCCGTGGCCCTGACTTGTGCAGCACCCCTGTGGCGGAGGCTGGGCCGCCAGGGCACCCGAGGCCACCCTTCGGCTGCGCTGGCAGGGGGCCCTTGTTGGCCAGTGGCCCCCGCGTGCCGACAGCCGGGAGAGCGCCTGCGCCGACGACGTCCACGGCGCTTGCGCCGGAGCCGGCCATGCCGCCGGCCATGCCACCACGCACGGCTGCATCGACGCCTCCAGCAGCGCCTCGACGCCTGCGTCGGCGGCAACACCCCGCCGAGGAGCCCCCTCCGCGGGCAGCAGCTGCACGCCCGCATCGGCCGAGGCGCCTGCTGGCCATGGCAGTGGGCGGGCACCGCGAGCGGACCGGGCTCCGCCGCCCAGCAGCACGCTGCTGGGCGCGCGCGCGCGCGCTCGGAGCTCGCCGCTGCCTCAGTGAGGGAGAGCCCGTGGGTACCGCCTACGGGCCGGACGAAAGGGGGGGATTGGGAAAGGGGGGGGTACGAAATTTGCTGCATGCAGCTGGTTTCGGCCTCGCCGAGGGGCCCATTCCTCGATACATGGCCGCATCCCGGCGCCGGGAGGCGCCGGAAAAATCAGCTCCATGAGCTGATCCCCAACCCCCCCCTTTGCTATCCCCCCCTTTCGCCCGACCCGACACCTACGGTCAGAACGTTTGGCTCCGCGTGTGGCTCCGCTGGTTCTGGCCCACCACGCTTCGGTGCTGGCCTCCCGCCCCGCGGAGCGGGGCGACACGCTGTCCGCTCGCAGGGAGCAGCGCGTCGTCCGGGCCGCTGCCGCAACACGCCATGCGAGGAGCAAGAAGTTTCCGACCGCAGGCGTCTGCACCGATCCCGGCCATGCCGGTGTTGGTCCCAAGACGTGTGCGCACGCCGCCTTGCCCAAGGCCAGGAGGGCCTGCACACCGATCCTGGGCCCAGGATGGGCCTGGCCAGGAGCGGTGAAGGCGTATAGTTGGCGCTTCTCCTCATGGGGGAAGAGGAGGCTCCGCGCCACTCGCCGCCGCCTCCGGCACGCCGGTGGGCTGCCGAAGCCGAGGGCGCTGGCCCTCCGACGAAGCTCTCGCGCCGAAGGAAGGGGTGGTCTGAGCGGCTTGGCGGCCTCCTGTCTCGCTTTCCCCCCCTCCCCCTGCCCGTGTCCTCGGGTGCCCCTTCCCCCCCCCCCTCCTCATTTGAATCTGAAATTCGTCTGCCAGCCAGTGCCCCGTGGAAATGTCTTGGCCCCCGACGGCCCAGCAGCTCTGGGGCAGCTCAGGGCCTTCAACCTTCAAGTATTGACAAGGACTGCGCCCAGATATTCACCATAGGTCGCCAGATCTCTTATCGTGTGCTTCTTTTGTACGCTCCCTTGTGAAGTTCGGTGTCGCAGCGGCCCTTGCAGTCGCCTCTCCGCAATGGCGCGTTGGCCAGACAGGGAAAACATCGGGGCGATCCTCGACGCAGTCCCGAGCTTCCCGGACTTCCAGGACGGTGAGGAGGAGGCCGAGAAGGAGGAGGAGGAAGAGGAGGAGGAGGAGGAGGTGAGGACGAGGAGCACGGAGAGTGAGAGGCAGAGATGGCGGCGCACAGGAAGGTGAGGATTTATTCATGTGCTTCGGGCGACGGCCGAACCTGTTTTAGAAAGAAGTCTGGGCTGACTGGCTGACTGGGTTGTTTGGTCGGAAAGCTGGTGCGCATCCCCGACCAAACATGGTCACTACTTGCGCACATCCATTTCAGCGGACAAGGTCCCTCGCCTGGCGCAGCCTCGCAGTAGCCGCCTGTGCCGGTGCGACCGCGCGCGTGCTGCTTTTCCTGTTATGTGGCCGCCCTGTGGGGGTGTACATTTTTGGACCCCGCACGCGAAGGCACCCGAGGACCCCACCCCACCGAGGCAACGCCTACCCAATTTCTCTGCAGTGGCCCGTTTTCCCATCTTCGGTGGCACACGCAGTTGGCTGCCGGTCCTCCCCCCCTTTCCCCAGAGTTCCAGCCGTCGGGAAGAAAGTCAGGCGTGTTGTGTTTCAAACGTCGGCATGTTAGGAGGGTTGAGCGGGCATTTCTGTTCGAGCAGTGGCCAAGCGTCCAGGCTCGCCTATAGGCCCACCAAAGAATGTTCCAAGAACCTGTCCTGGTTTACACGAATATTCCTAGATATATTCTTGCTGAGACCGCCTTGTTTTCATCCGTCGGGTCTATGTTCTGAGAGCACTGGTTTTGGTATTGAAACATTGTTAGGGTTCTAAGAACATGCCGTGGTAGGCATATAGGAATGCCGGGACGGTCGGTCCCTATTCAATTGTTGGGGCCCAGGGGCATCTGAGAAAACGACCCGCCGCGGATGGGGTCGAGAGGCGCCACGAGGCGCCTCGGGGAAGAGCACCGAACAGTAACGCGACGTCGGGGGCTTGGGGGCCTCCGCGGAGCTCCGCCGTGCAGTCTGCCTCACGGCGCGGGCCCTCGGAGACGTCGGACTGGTGCAGCCGCGCGCAGAGGGGGGGTACAGCCGGACCGAGGTCTAAGATCGAGATCGGTTCGGGGAGGGTATCCTCGTGTTCTTCGTGTTTGTTGGATGAGCTTGTGCACCCTGGGGCGGGTACCCTGGGATGTTGTTCTGTCTGTTTTGGCCGACGGAGGGTGTCATGTTCTTGAGGGATGTTCTTCTGGCCTAGGTCCGACTGTAAGGGAGGGGGGAGGCTTCTTAGAAGCTTCTTAGAAGCACCCCTACTTCTTAGGCGGGGTGGGCCCTCTCTATATATGTAAGGCCGGCGCCTTCTAAGAAGCATCCTCCCTCTAGGGAGCCTTTCCCTCGCCCCCATACCCCGATGTGCGCGCCGCCAACTGGTCAGAAAGCGTCATCCACATGCGCCATACTTGTTTCTGGACGCCCGCCAGAGGTGTGGGTCTTCCTCTCCCAGTCCCTCCTTCTGTCCTTCGTTGGTTCCGTTTGCTTCCCCTTCCAAGGGTTTAACGTCGTGCGGTTCACGCTGCTGCCCTGATGTGGCGATCCTCGGCGTGCGATCGCGGAGCGGGCGCGGGTCTTCATTCCAAAAGCTACGGAGGTGGTTGAACGTAACCGGCAATTGCACAACCATCGGGTACTGCGTGCAGAGCCCGAACTACCCGCAGAAGTACGGGAACGACCAGGGATGCAACGTCCTGAGAGTCTCAGATCCGTCGAGAAGCTCTTGGTCGGGCCGCTGATCTGGACGATCCTTCGATCGATCGGGATGGGGTCGGTGGCGGTTCCATCCCCTGCAAAAGTTCACTCGTAGAAGCCAACGCCCCTGTGGCGTCGATCACCTCCAAAGGACAGGCTTCTTATGCGAGCCCTGCCCCCCGTTCCCAGGGGACCTGTGCACCATGATGCCTCACCCCGAGATGTCGGGGGTGATGCACCGTCCCTGTCTTGCGTGCCCCTCCTGCTGATGCCCCTCCTGCTGATGCTCCGGCTGTTCCTGCTGCTCCTGCTCATCCGTGCCCCCCTCCCTCCCCCCCCCCAGACACCCCCACTTCCACGCCAAACGTCCTGGACTGCTTCGGAGCTGGGAGGGGCAGCAAGGCGACTAGACGTAAGAGTGACCCTTCGCCGGAGTGACCTTTGGTGCGGGCCCAATGGTGTCCCCGATCGCCGAACGCGATGCGATAGTGGCGTCTTGCGGCCTTGTGTTTGGTCGCCCCGCGGCCCCCCAAAAAGCCGCGCACTAAGGGTCACTCGTACACAGGGTCACTTTTGCGCGTAGCCGAGCAAGGCAGGGCGAGGGAAGCAGGGCGAGGGAAGCGACCAGCCAAAAGCGGCGTCCGCTCTCAGAGGCCCAGCTCCCTGGTTCGCAGCCTGACCGGAGTCCTTCCTAGATGGGCCCATCCCTTGAAGAATCCGCCCGCCGTCTTACCCAGACCCACTCGAGTCATGAAAAAATAATGACGGGAGGTTTTTCACTATTTCCGGCCTCTGGGGGCCCTTACCGGCCCTCGGGACCGTCAAAAACGACTCAGGACGAAAAACCGCTCCCGGGGAATGGGTCCAGACCGCTGGGGGTCGACGTCATGAACAAAATCATGGCGTCGGGGGTCTGGGTAGAATGTGGCATTCGAAACCAGAAGGACGAGGCGGCTTCTGATTGTTCCTGACAGAGTTTCCGTCAGAGCCGGCCGGCCCTTGCACGGATCCCTCCCCCAGGGTTTGTTCGGACCCGTTTAGAGGGCCGCGTCTGGCCGTGGCGGCGACGATTCCCAGACGAAGCAGAAAACAAGATGACGACTCCGACGACGACGACGACGAAGATGATTCCGACGACGACGACGACGAGGAGGACGACGAGGACGACGAGGACGACGACTTCTTCGTCGTCGTGCGCGCTGCCAACTGTTTCACCTTCGAACCACGCTAAGGCAACATTACCCTGAACCAGTCGGTTCGACCGAAAGTCACGGGAATGATGTTCAGCTCCGAGTCGAGCTACGACGTCCTCACTGTGAACGGCCAGGACCGAGGGACGCGCCAGGAAGAATCGGCAGACGGCTGAGCTTGGAGCATAGAAAATTAAGAGCGCTACACACGGCTATGAATTGCACATCGGCAGAAGCAGCAGCAGCAGCAGCAGCAGCAGCAGCAGCAGCAGCAGCAGCAGCAGTACGATGACAAGAAGCAGGAGGACGAGGGGATGGAAGAGAAACGGGATGACCAGGATGGACAGACGGTAAGATGAGGACAATGATGATGATGATGAGGAGGAGGAGGAGGAGGACAAGGAAGATGAGCAGCATGCGGATACGGAGGGGAAGGAGGAGGAAGAGGAGGAGGAGCAGCAGCAGCAGGAGGAGCAGGACGACAAGGGGAGGAGCAGCGGAGTTTCAGGCAAGTGTTGCAAACAAACCCAGAAGACACCCCCCGCCATGGTCCCTGCAGGCGCCCCCCTCCCAGAGATGCCTCGAACTGCAGGCCCAGGAGAATCCAGAGACACGACTGAGCACGCTGCCTCGAGCGCGCACCGACCGTCTTTGTTTTTTTGTTCGACGCCTCGCGGAAATCCCGCCGAATCTTCCGCTCCTGCCCGGGGCAGCGCCTCCCGTCAGATCTTCGACGGCAGCTTTTTCCTCCATTTCGGCCCCTGGGACCCCGTACAGTCGGGGCCCTGAAGAAGGAACCCTTTTCGTTGGGGAGGGGCTCCGCGTTCCTCAAGTGTTTCGCAGGTTGCCTCAGGTTTTCCTTATGTTTTCGATCGGAAATCGAAGTTGAACTCATGGAAAAAAGGGTCCTCGTTCCTTATTTTGGGCTCCTTAGGTCAAGGCCCCGACTGTATCGGGCCCCAGAAGGGATCCGGGGTGACCGCTCGGCCCCGGGGGGAAGCGGTCGGGACGCGGACTGGAAGCCGCGCGCTGGAGGATGTCTGGGCCGGACTCTTGAGACCGCCTGGGCTTCTCTGGACCTTAGTGGGCCCCTCGGGGGTGGACAGAACCCCCAATAGTGACACGTCGATTAGTGCATTGTCCGTTTTCGGTTCTCGAGAGGGCGCCGTGGCCGTTATTTTCCAGGCTTGCGCCCGCCAGGTTTGGGCCTCAGGTCGTTTTCACTAAACCACGTTTTACTAAAGGGGGGTCTGTCCATCCCCGATTCTCTGGACCTTAGTGGGCCCCGGAAACGGCAGGGCCATTTTTTCACCGTTTCCGAAAAGGTGTCCCTTGAAAATGGAAACGGCAAAAAAAACGGCGACCGAGAACGGCAAACAACGGCTTCAGGCTCGGAACCAGAGCCAGAACCGGTAAAACACGGCGACGGAAGCGGTAAAAAAAGGCGTCGGAACCGGCAAAAAAACGGAACAACGGAACCGGCAACAAAAAAGGCCCTGTCGTTTCCAGGGCCCATCAAGCTCTGGACCACCGCGCGCGGATGCCAGGGGGCCGTCCCCTGCGGGGCAGGCTCGGCGGCTCCGCAGGAGAGGCGGATGCCGGGCCGCTGGCCCCGGGGCCGCTTCCGGGGTCAAGGCCGCGGGGGATGGGCTCAGAGGGGGGGGGGGGGGCATCGACCTGCAGGCGCCCATGCTTCGCCGATGGAGGCCCGAGGGCCCGCCCCGCCCAGGACCGCTCGGATTTGCGATCGGAGGCCTGTACAGTCGGGGCGCTGAGGAAGGAACCCTTTTCGTTGGGGAGGGGCTCGGTGTTCCTTAGTTTTTTTGCAGTTCGCCTTTGGTTTTGCTTAGGTTTTCGCTGGGAAATCGAAGTTTAACTTGTGGGAAAAGGGGCCTCGTTCCTTATTCAGGGTTCCTGAGGTCAACGCCCCGACTGTATCGGCGATGTGTCGCCGATTCCAGGTCGATGGTTTCCCCCCTGAGCTGGTCCCTGCCCATCTCAGAGCGTGAATTACCTACCCCGCTTTCGCTTCCAGGCAAAACCAAGTCATACCACGCGCCTCCTCGTCAAGCGGCCTGACCAGTACAGGCCGTAGTTTGGCATCGTTTGGTATCTCTTGGAAGCGAGGGTGGTCAAAAGCGAGGTAGGTTTGTTTTCCCCCTACCATCGCTGCCCCTCTTGCTTGCACCTGGGTTGTCCTCCCCCGCCCCACGCGTTGGGGCTGCCACGTGTTCGGGCGACTCCGTGCCGGTCCGCGCCAGGCCTCCCGCCCGCCCCCTCTGCCCAGGCGGCCCGGCCTTTCGAGGAGGGATGGAAGGCTGAGGAGGAGGAGGAGGAGGAGGAGGAGGAGGAGGAGGAGGACAATCATCTGGACGAGGGGGATGAGAAAGGGTGGAGAGAGGTGGGGGGGCCGAGGGGGAAGGGGAGGAGGAGGAGAAGGAGGAGGAGGAAGCGGAGGAGGAGGAGGAGAACGTGAGTGTGAAAGAGTGGGAGGAGGAGGAGGAGGAGGAGGAGGAGGAGGAGGAGGAGGAGGAGGAGGAGGAGGAGGAGGAGAGGGAGGGTGGGTCTTTACTTCCACGTGCAAGTTGTTGGGACCTGGTCCGAGGACGACAGGGACGAGGGGGTGGGGATTGGGAGGTGCAGGAGAGTGAGGAGGAGGAGAATTTGAATCTGGAGGAATGGAAGGAGGAGTAGGAGGAGGAGGAGCAGGAAGAGGTGGAGTGGATAATCCCAGACAGTTCAACATGCGCTTCTGCACTCGGAGCGTCCTGTTTGGACCCAGTCTTCGCGTCTTTTGACTGGTTCCTGCACCATGCGATCGTCTATGTTCTATGTTATCCGAGCTGTTGTCCTCGGCAGGTGGAGAGCCGCATTGCTAGTCAGGTCACCCGCCAGGGCTCCAATACAACCGCGACTCGCTGTCTGGGCAGGAGCGTGGCCCAGAGAGTAATCCTTCGCTGGCCCGTTGCCGCGCGAGTGCGCGAAGAGTCCCCTGCGCTTTGCCAATGGCGACATCCAGAGACCTGGCCTGTTCCCCGGCAGGAGTACAGCGGGACGACTGGGCCTGTGGGCGTGGTGCCGACGTCCACCATCACCTGGTCGTCCGACCACGTGAACCAGGGGCACGGTTGGCAGCTCTGCTTCCAGGAGCGCGACATTGTCCTCACCGTGACGACGACGCCGAAGCCGATGGTTTACGACGGGTGTCCAGCCTAGGGAGGACGAGGATGAGGAGCAGGCGCCGCACAATGTGCGATGAGCAGGCTTTCCTTTGCCGCCGCGGGTTCGCTTGCGACCGTTTCCAGAATACATTTCGCGTGTCTCCATAAGTTCGGTCAACGTGTCTGGCCTTTGATCGGTATCTTGCATTCGCTGCCCCCGCTAAGGTGCCCCGTCAACGTGTTCGCGCAGTTTTTTCCAGGGAACACAGAGATGTTGAAGGATCGGCCGTTCCAACGATTCTTGAAGAAAGGCGAGGAGCCGTTCGATTCTTTCGCCCAGGTTTCCCGAGGGAAGGACGAGTCGGTGTTCCTCGAGATTCTCGTAACAGAGAAGGCGAACACTCGCAACGAGGAGTTGCCAGTGGCCATGGAGATCATCAAACGAACGCAGGGTGATCTGTTCGTGGCGCTAAAGAACGCGATGCGGAGATTTGTAGATTTCAAGCCGATCGTCGGCGGAATGTACCTGAACTGGGTGGCCCTTCAGCCATATCATGTGGACACGTGCGAGGCAAAGATGAGCAAAATGGTCCATGAGTTCTCGAAGTCATACACTCGGCGGCTTGTCCCATGGGCGCTCTACAACGAGTGCACGAACTGGATGACAGCGTTGTCTTTCAGCCACGACCCTCTCGTGAACGAGCTGGACCATTCGAAGTGCCGCGCGTGGACACACAACTTCATGCAGAAGTGGAACTACGGGAAGGGGGTGAAGGAAGTGGCCGACCCCAATCTGTTCGATTGCCAGGCTGGCCTGTCGAACTGGGAGCAGGGCTGGTCGAGCGAGAAGAAGTGTTGGTGTTGCGCGCACAAGAGCCAGGGCTGCGACCCCGCACTCACGTGCCCTCAGACGTGGGCCGTCAACAGGACAGTCCACATCGACTACAAGCGCCTGGCTCGGCCGGCCAGCAGTGCCCCTCCTCCTGCATTCCGTCATGCACCGCAGCCCGCCCCTCATGGACGCCTCACGGACGTAGTTCCCGGGGCATGTCTCATGTAGATTGTGCTCTGGTCTGCGCTGTGTCTCGTGCGGTGTGCTTCTCGGGTTGTCTTCGGGATGGGCTCCGAGTTCCATTCGGAAGTGTCTCTGCATCGGACCGGCCGGATACGATGCCGCCCATCCTGGCCAGTGCACTCCGCGTCCCCCGCCGGCCAGACCCCCGACGTTGATGAGCATAGCCGTCTCCGTGGGCCCGCAGTCTCTCGGGCCGGACGAAGGGGGGGGATTGGGAAAGGGGGGGGTTACGAAATCTGCTGCATGCAGCTGGTTTCGGCCCCACCGAGGGGCCCATTCCTCGATACATGGCCGCCTCTGGCGCCGGGAGGCGCCGGGAAAATCAGCCACGTGAGCTGATTCTCAACCCCGCCCTTGGCTATCCCCCCCTTCCCCCGGCCCGCAGGCTCTCCGAGGGCCCCGGGCATCGAGCCTCCCCTCGTCCTCCTCGCCTATAGCCCCACCAAAGAATGTTCTAAGAACCTTTCGTGGTTTGCACGACATGTTCTTAGAACATTTCTGGCGGAGTCTGTCTTGTTTTTACACATCGGGCTTATGTTCTAAGAACATGGCCTTTGTTATTAGAGCATTTTTGGGCTCTAAGAACATTTCGTGGAAGGACTATAGGATGGCCGGGACGGTCGGTCCCTGCTCAAGAGCCTCCCCTCGTCCTCCTCGCCGCCCCCGGCCCCGCCGAGGTGCTGGTGCCAGGGGGTCTGCGAGTCCAAGTTCGGCGTCGGGGCCCCCGTGTGCCGTGCTTTAATTACCGCCCGGCGGGGCGGCGGAGCGGAGGGGTGACCCTAGGGGCGGGGGGGGCCGGGGGGCGTCGGAACGGGGGTGTGGGAGGTGGGCTGAAGGAGTCGACCCTCCTCCTCCCCCTTTCCTTATCCTTCTTGTCCTCCTCCTCCTCCTCCTCCTCCGCCTTGTCTTTGGCCTCGTCGTCGCCCGCCCCTCCATGCCTCGGCATCCTCCCCTCAGTCTCCTAGTGAAGGGGTCGTGGTTTCCTCTTTGGTGTTGCTCTATACGCCCACCCTTTGTTGTCTGCAGCCCAGGTTTCGTTGTCCCGCTGTCTGCTGTGGGGATTATTCAGCCCTGTTTCGCGTTGTCCGCAGTTTTTTTACTGGTTTCTAGGCCACCTTGTAGCTGTACTACTGGTACTCCTGCTTCATGTTCTCATCGTTATATGGATTTCTCAGCCTCGGGCTCATACGTACCCACCCCCCAGAGCTCCGAGAAAGTCTTGATTGCTTACTCGTAGTTTCTGCGTGCAGACGGAAAGCGGGGGGGGAGTCGAAATGGGAAGGAAGAGGACAAAACGAATGGCGGAGGAGTCTGATGAGTAGACAGCAGGGGCAAGGCTGGCATGTGTCAACGGTAGAGGTTTTCTTGGAGCCCCCGCCCTGGCCTCCTCTTCCTCCTCCGCGTCCGCTTTCTATCGTTCTCCTCCGCGTCCCCTTCATCCCTCCTCCACGTCGTTTCTCTTGTCGTTGTCCTCATGCTTTCCCTTTCTTCTTTTGGTCAGAGGGTGCTTGTTTTCCCCACGTGTTGCGTGCCGTTCTCCGTAATGCGTCGTTTCGCACTCAATGGGTATGATGTTTTTCCGTACCCCTGATTGGTTTCCTGGAGTTGTCCCGATGGGTGCCTTCGGGGTGTGTTTTGAGCATGCTGGCGGGATGTTCTGTTATGGATTTGGGTTTTCTGGGTTGTCCCGGAACAGTTGCGTGCGTATGTGTGTGTGTGTGTGTCGTTGGGCCCGTCGGTGTGGGCGTGTGTGAGAGGTCTCCTGAGTGGTGTTGTGGGCGTGTGTAAAGCTTGTTCTCTATCGCGGGCCGGTGCAACAGTGTGTGTGTGTGTGTGTCCGACTTGTTTCCGCACCCTGGCTCAAGCCATTGGCTCGAGCCCTTCCGCCGCTGCGGAGGGTACACGGTAAGGGCTCGAGGTTGGTCGCGCGAGCCCCTGGGCCGGTCCTGATGTTTGCCCAGCAGAGCCGGTTACATTTCGTTGACTTTGGCGCATGGTTTCACATTGCGAGGAGTGTTATGGAAGTTCCGACCGACGGTCGCGACATCCTCTCTGCGCGATCGGATCGATCTGGCATTGCTGGATCAGGGGCATCTGCCCAATCCGACCAGGAGGAAAGCTTGGCTCATGGTTCGTCCGTCGTGCACCGAAGCGTGGGCTACTTGAGCAAATGGCATCCCCCCAGATGGATCGGCCGACTCAGATGGTGGCTGTCATAGCTTTCCATCCCCAGCCGGGCGATGGCGAGTGCTCTGAAGACCCGCACATGATGTAAGCAGCGAGTAGGATCTTCATCAGATCTTTCAGGAGTCGAGCCACTCCTTTCCCCATGCCGCTGTGTCTGGTGTTCCTTTTTCCAGAGGGCCGTGCCGCGCAAGGGGGTCCTCCAGTGGTCCGACCTGGGCGAAGATGATGATGATGCTGCTGCTGCTGAAGATGATGATGGTGATGCTGATGCTGATGCTGATGATGATGATGATGGTGGTGGTGGTGATGATGATGATGATGATGCTGCTGATGATGATGATGACGATGACGGTGGTGGTGGTGATGATGATGCTGATGATGAGGCTGATGATGATGATGATGATGATGATGATGATGATGATGATGATGATGATGATGATGGTGGTGGTGGTGATGGTGATGGTGATGGTGATGGTGATGGTGGTGATGATGATGATGATGCTGATGATGATGATGATGATGATGATGATGATGATGATGAAGAGGAGGAGGAGGAGGATGAGGAGGAGGAAAGAGGAGGAGGATGAGAAGGAGGAGGAGGAGAACTAGGATTAGGCGGGGAACGACGACGCAGGTGACGTGGCTCTGGGTGCTGGCGCCGACCCGTGGGGGGGGGGGGGGGCATTTCTCTGCAGCGCGGCGCTCGAGGGCGTGCGATTCCTAGCGGTTGTGTGGGGCGGGCCCCTTTAGCAGGGGGCCCGAGCGCCTCAACGAGGCGCGACTGGCCGGTCGCTGGGCCGCCGCTTCGAGACTTTTCTGGGCTGTGGCTGGACTGCTTCGCGCGGGAGGCGAGGGGTCGGTGCTGGCCTCGGCGCGCCGGATCCCCAAGTCGCACGCGGTCTTCCTTCGTAAGCCTGGCGCCGACACGGTGCGGCTCGTAAGCCTGGCGCCGACCCCATGCGGCCCATCTGGGTGGGCGAAGTCCGGCGGCGGGATCTCGCCAAGCGCTTCATGGCCGGCAGCCGGGAACGACTACTCCAGAGGATCTCCGCGCCGCATTGGCAGCGCGGAGTGGCGCGGCCTTGCGGCGCCGATGTCCTGGTGCACCTCTGGCGATGCCTGGGGAGGAGGGCTGCGGACGGTCCTGCGTTCCATGGCCGGCCTGGACCTGGACCTCCGCAGCGCTCGCCCCCTCCCTGGAGTAGTGGCCCGCGTTGCGCTCAGGTGCGCCCTGGTGGGCGCTGGTGGGCGCTGGAGCGGGACCAGTCCGGTGGACTGCCTGGTGCCACCTCGCGCCTGCCGACGTTACAACCAGGAGCGGGGAGTGGATGGAGGTCGACCGCGGGTCCGAGCCAGGGGACCCCTTGGACCAGCACAGTGTGCCCTGACGCGGCTCGCCTACGCCGCTGCGGGTCGCCGCGCGGCCGAGGCCCGCGGCGGCTGGGTCTGGGCCGTCTGGTGCATGGACGACGGCCAGGTGCTTCCCAGATGTCGCGGTGTCGCACATCGAGGCGTTCGACGTGGAGCTGGCGGCACTCGGCGGCAGCCGCGTCGCTGGGGCCCCGTTCAAAAGCACAGCGCGCCTGCTGGGCTCCCAAGGAGCCTGCGCGGCGGTGCCTCCCGCATGGTGCGCGGGAGCTGCGTCTGCGTCGTGCTGGGTGGAGCCGCCCGGCTCCTCTGGGAAGGTCCTCGAGGTCCGCGTCTCGGGCGACGATCTGAGGAGCACTTCCGCGGGGCCTCGGAGGCGATGGCGACCGCCTGCAGCGCGCTGGCACCCTTCGGGGACGCCCCGGGTGAGCTCGCCCTTCTCCGCGCGAGCATGAGCGTTCACCGCGCCATGCAGATGCAGCGCGCCACGGGCCACGACGCTTGCTTGGAGGAAGAGCGGGAAAAGTGTCAGCGGGTGAACTGTCTACCGCAGCTGCTCAGGCGTCGCGCTCCTTCTTTCCCCACGGCCCGTGGCAGGTGTCCAGCCGACAGGTGGTCAGCCAGCTGCGCTGCACTCGTGCCCCCCCCCAGCCCCATGGCAGCCGATCGCCACGCGGAGCACCCCAGGTGGCCCGCGTCCAGAGAAGGAGACCCCCCAGCGCCACTAGTCACTAGTCACGGGTCACTAGTCTACAGCATGGGGACGATGCCAGAGGAGCGGCACGCGCAATGATCACGCTGGTTTTGAGGAGGACGGAGGAGAGGCAGAGCGTTACTCCGACCCCCGAGGAGAGGCAGAGCGTTACTGGCCAGCCTCCCTCCCTGGTCAATTGTTCCCACGATCCCCTGTGGCTTCACTGCTGCATCGCTATCCGCCGGTCGAGTGGGACGCCTGCAAGATCTGGTGCACGCCACTCGTTCGACCTTTGCCGTTTGCTCGCTTCGACTCGCCCTCCAGTGACCCGGGAGAACATGGCCTTTGTTCCAGCGCGCTCGCCACGAGCGCGTCTGCAATCCGCGTTGGCGCGCCTTGCCTGCGCTGACCAGCGGTTGCTGCAACGCTGTGGAGGAGGATGAGGAGGAGAAGAAGGAGGAGGAGGAGGAGGAGGAACAGACAAGAAAAGTGCGCGTTGGAGGAGGATGAGGAGGATAAGAAGATAACAGTGTGTGTGTGTGACTCGTTGGGTTGTTTGAGTGCTCGTCTATTCCTCGGTTTCGGCCCGTCCGTTTCCTCATCGCGACGATGCGTGGCCACGAGTCCCCACTCGTGGCCACGGAGGGTGTATTCGAGGGATGCCGAGGCACGCGCTCTCCACGCGTCGTGGCGAGTGGCATCTGGGATGCTCCCGCAGGGGACCTCCCACTTGTCCAAGCGAGGCTCTTGCGGGCGTCCTGGGGGATGCCTCGGGTGCGCGTGGGGGTGCTGTCGGGCGTGGCCCGGATGTGCCCAGGGGTGTC